AATTTGCCAGTTACTAATAATTTTCTTGTCTTTAAATTTTATTTTAATTGGGCCAGGGACTTAGCTCAGTGGTTCCACTGCCTGCCTCGCAAGCACAAGGGCCAGAGTTTGATCCCTGGTACCAAAAAAAAAAAAATTATTTTAATTACATAAACAATGCAAATCATTTGGATAATATACTCAAAATAAAATATAAAACCCTCCCCCTGGTCTCTTTCCATTCTTTAGAATATCCAGAAGATGATCACTGTTAAGAACCTGAAACATAAAAAGTCCCTGGCTCGCTCTGTGCAAATATGTATTCATGAAATTCTTTAAAAATGGGAGGCTGTTGCAGGTATAATTTTTCTAAAAATTTCCTCAAAAGCAAACAACATCTTAGAATAACCAACTTTCCATTGGTAAATGTACCTTCATTTTTTTAGTGGTCTAGGGCCTTGTCACAGCTAAAGGCCATAAGCTCCAGAAGAGGAAGGCTTGAATTCTGTGTCTACTTTTTGCTAGCTGTTGGGACCTTGGCCATGTTTCCTCTATTTGTGCTTAGTTTATCCAAATGCAAAAGAAACTTGATGAGTCAGTGACTTTACACAGTTATTCTGAAGTGAACCATAATTAGTTAGGTCTTCTGTAGTAATGAGAACAGTTCACGAACCTTCATTTGGGCCACCAATATAGTAGCTGCATAATTTTTCAGCAAATAGATGGAGGCGGATCAGTGCAAAGCTTGTGTTTTGAAAATGAAAATCATTTGCAATGTTGACAGACCTGTAAAAAGTTTTCTATTCTCATGTTCATTTGAAGTTAGGAATTATTTTCAGATTAGATTTTTTAAATCCTATTAATGAGATGTAATTTTTAAAATTTTCAGAATCATTCCTGAGCCCTAACACTATATTCATACTATATTCATCAAGTTGGATGTAAAAATAAAAATTAAATATAAGGATTTTGGGGTGTATAAACAAAAATAGCAAGTCAAAACTTTTAAATTAGAAATTGTAAAAATAAGCTGTCCAAATCATTAGAAATAGAGGAGACAAAAGGAAAAACCGAAGCAATACAAAGGCAAAAAAGGAAAGAATGAGAAAAGGAGGAGAAGCATACACATTAATATCCTAGACATGTTTTGCCTCCCTGCAGCACACGAAGCTATGAGTTCGCCACCACTGCCCTACACAACGCTGGATGACGGCTTTCTGACTATACTCAATCTACAGACTCAAGGAAACTGCAGTGTTTTCATTAGCACTGGATCACTTTGCCTACATGTAGCTTATTTTTGTAATTATTGAAACAGATAGTTAAAGGCCTTCTTCGTGTATGATATTATCTTGGGAGTTTCAAATGCTGACTGCCTATGTTGGAAATAAGTTTTTGCTGACATCAGTTCTTCCAGTTTAACACAAGTACACTTTAAAACAAGAACTGAATAATAAAGACAAAATTTTAAAACTCCAAATACTAGCATTTTTATTTGTATTAGCTTATTTCTTTCATGGGAAACTAAAGTAGTTTATTCCTCTCTCTGAAAGTAGAGATGAACAGCTATGATCTCCTGACCCTATTATGATACAAACACAGTGCTGGAAAAGTGAGCCCGCAGTTTATCATTTGTAAATCTAAGGCAGGTCAGCATTTTCTACCTAGTTTCTACGTGTAAACCACTATTGTATCTTAAGATGAAAACATGAAAATGCAAGGATAATCGTAGCCCACAAATGAACTCATCCACATGTCCAAGATAAGTGAACAGGAGTGACTGTGTACCCCTGTCTCTTCAGGACTAGTGGCTACTAAACATCTGGACTAGTTAATATATACATTTGCCCCTGGATACACGAACATTTCTAGTCATCAGTTTCATCTGTAACACGAGGGTGCTGGATTACATGATCATTTGATCCTGCTGGTCCTGTTTCTACAATGTACAGAGAGAGACCTTCTCTATTTGTATTTCCCAGTTAAAAACTTTCAGGGTTATGAGTAAAGCCGAGAGTAAATGTACCTCAACTCTATTCTCCACTGGCAGTACTGGTGGTCACTTGTATTATTTTGTTATTAAAACATATGTAAAGCTATGATAAACAGTAAAAAAACTGCTTCACATGAATCCTTGATAAAATGATTTGACAAGAAGATATGTTGAAGGACAAGGAGCAAATTCTCCACTGAAAAAAGGTACTTTGACCATGCAATGAAGAAATGACAAAGACCAATAAAAACAGAAAACCTTGTAAATACTGGGTACTGGACATGATATAAACCCTGGCTTCTTGCTGGAGTCGTTAGGATTTTAAAAAACAACCAATGTGGCCAAATTTGGACTATGTATAGTATCTCAAAATTCCCTGAAAGTTTTTACTTGCAAACAGAGTTATGCACACTTAACTAATGGATCAGCATCCTCCAACACAGTAGTTTTCAAAGAGAAGTTCAATGAACTCTTCCAGGGGTTCATGAAGTCAAAACTATTTTTATAATACTGAGAAGATATATGCCTTTCTACTGCAATACTACATTCACCGTTAAAGCAAGAGGAATTTTGGAAATAGAATCATCCTCTTAACTTTCCCTTCATGCTGTACAAACCTTGCTTTTCCTCTTGAAACTCCTGGGGAGTTCAAGGCATCACTGCATAATAGAAAGGGCACAAGATTTGTAGCTGCTAAGTTCAAATCTTAGCTTAACTATTCATGAGTCACATGATCTTGGACAAGGCACTTAGCTTTTTTCATAGGTAAAATGCAATCAATAACATCTTCAACAAAACATTGCCCAAGGGTTTCTTTGTTGTTGCTGTTAGAGTACTAAAAAACAAATCTATGTATGAGGTTTAAAAAAAAAACTACAATCTAAAACAGCATCTAGGAAAAAAATTCAGCCCAAATTCATGTCTGACATTATCATTTGCTTGTATATCCTCCCACAGCCACTGTAGACATATAGAAATATATATAGTCAGCCCTGGGTATCCACATCTACAGATACAACCAACCATACATTGAAATAATTAGATAAGGCCCGGGATTTAGCTCAGTGGTTCCGCCGCCTGCCTTGCAAGTTCAAGGACCTGAGTTTGATCCCTGGTCCCCCCGCCTCAAAAAATTGGGAAAATAATTACACATCTGTAGTGAACAATCTTTTTTTTCTTGTTATTCCTTAAACAATACAGTATAACTATTTACATAGCATTTACATTATATTAGGTATAAATAATGTAGAGATGATTTAAAGTACACAGGAGGATGTGTACAGGTTATACACAGATACTATGCTGTTTTATATGAGGGAGTTGAACAGCCATATATTCTGGTCCTTGGGAAAATCCTCAAACAAAGTTGCTTCCAAAGAAACAACTACATGTATGTTTGAGGGCAACAAATCACTAAGGCTTATTTTATCCACAGCTCTGTTATGTTTCTATTATTTGCACAAAGATTTTTTGGCATCTGACATTTGAGATAAGAATGAGTCCTGGTTTCACTACCTAGTAAGTGCTTGATCCCAGGCAAGTCAGTCTCCTTGGACTTCTTTTCCTTCACCTGTAATTATCTGCTCAGTTGTTGTGAGCTTAAAATAAGACAATGCACATAACCTGATTTTCAGAACAGAGGCTGCTACACAGCCAGCGATACATGGAAGCTATTATTGGGAAATCAAGGATGGCAGGGCAGTTTAAACACTGTTGATCTTAAAGCCGTGTCCTGCTGTTGCCTGGTGCAGGTGACAGGATGATGAAAAGGAATGTATTCACGACTGGCACTATGAGCAAAATACTGTAATGCCATTTCGGCTTCTGGGAAAGATGGGCAAGAATTAAGAGTGAGTCTTCCTACTTTTTAAAAACATTAAAAACATTTTTAAAATGGGGACATTTTCTAAGTTAAATAAGAGCTCAATAATGACACTGAGAAGAGCAAATGCACACTGCCCCGTGGCAGGTGGGAAAAGAGGCGAAAAGCAAAATGAAATGTTCATCAAGAGAAGGAATGATATGCCAGTGGATGTCACTCCCTGTATCAGGTGGGACACTTGTCCAGGGAAGCAGCTGTGACTCACGCCCAACCACAATCAAAGCAGCTGGTATAAAGTAGGCAAGACTGATAGAGTTGTCAGGGGTTCAACAGCAACTTCTAGAAATAAACTTTTCACCATAGAAACTCTTGGCTTTTATGGGGGGGTTGATTGTGAGGTTAGAAGAAGTAGGAGAATTTCCCTATTTGCTCATAAAAACAGAACTGGGCACACAGGATTCATAAATTCACCTTGAGGGCCCCTCCAGTCTGCTGGCACTTACCATAACAAGGGTAAAATTAGTTTAGACAGCTCCCGAGATTTTATCACTACCAACTATTGCATCTATTCCCAGCCACGCAGGCTTGCCTGTATTCTCAGCCCGGAAATTTCTTCTGCGATTCTGTGACTCAGTTCAAGCTATTCTGAGATGACCTAAACCACCAAAAGGATCTACAATACACAAAACAGACACATCCACGCATGAGACACACGCACGCTAGGGGAGGTGTGAGGCCCGAGGCAGACATCCTTAGAAGTACACTAAACTCCTAAAAGAGAAACCGCCTTTGCAGAGAGCTCCACTCATTAAAGCCTAGTTTGTAAAACTGCATCCTTAGGGTTGAGAGAAAGATGTGGGAGGGCCCAGAACGGCAACTGACTCCACCAGTTACACCGAAGCTGAGGTTACAGCAGCGCCTGGGTCAGCCAGGTAGGGCAGGGGAAGGGGGCGGGGGTCGAACAGCGTCAGCGTCTCCTAGGGTAAAGGCCCAGAGATGACCGATGGAAACTCGAGCTTTTCTCCTGCTCCGGGCGACCGGCGTCCGGCCGGGACGCGCAGCCCGGATCCCCCGCACCTGCACACGGCCCCGGACACTCGAGCCAGTGCCGAGGCTCCCTGGCCCGCGCGCTCAGGGCGGCCGCACACTCCCGGACCCGCAGACCCTCCGAAAAGCTCAGCCGCGCGCGGCAGGCCCGGTTCTTACCATACTGAGGCCCGCGTTGGCCCAGCCACATCACCCTTCCGGGCCCAGGGCGGAAGAGCTGTGCACGGCCCGCCGGTCTTTCTCGCGCTCTCCAGCGCTCCGATTGGATGCATCACGGCACCGCCTCCGGAGCCGAGCGAATCCAGCGCCTTGATAGCCTGCTCTCGGCGGAAGAGGCGGGACTTAGATGACGACAGGCGGAGCTTCGGAAGTAGCCGGCACTTCCATTGGTTGCGGACTCTGGCGTTTTGGGGAAGACCGGAAGTGGAGTCATTGAGCGGTAGGTCCCGGAAGGGGCGGCGGCCTCTTTAAAAAGTATATATACTGTCCTATTTCTCGTTTTTTCCTTAATTTATTTTTTTAGTTTCTTGATATTTATCTCTAGGACTGCGCAGTGGTGAGCTCCGGGGCCTTCCTCTTGTGGGCTCTAGGGGATCCCAGCGTCCAGGCCTGATCCGCAGGGCGTGCACCTGTTGAGTCCCCCTTTTAATTTCTCATTTTGCACTAGAGCGGTTCTTAGGAACGCGGAGCAGCTGTTAAATGGCCTGTATTGATTGGGAGTAGCAAGGCATTTAAATCCGAAGGGTTTTGTTGAGTAGGTTGGTCATTTACCCAGTACCAGACTTCTTCGCTCCGATCCGCAGCTCTTTGGAGACTGTCAGTGGGTTCCGGGGCTGGCGCGTCATTTGGGGAGCGGGAGGAGCTTCCTATGGGAGCCGGTGGGAAAGAACTAAGCGCCTTTCCTCGGGTGCAGTAAATCAGTTAGATGCTCTAGAGAAATGATGGGGCAGCAAGACAATTTGCATGCCAACTTTTTTTTTTATAAAAAATTTTAGCAAGCCCTTGTCACCGCGTGTCGTTTATTTTTTTCTCAGGCAGCACAGGGTTCTTTTCAGAATGTTATCTTTTTTATTTTTTTAAAAAAAATTGGTCCAGAGGTCGTTAGGGAGAAGGAAGGAAGGAAACTCCTGAGGTGTATTCTGCAAAACTACGAGACTTCAGTATTTAGGGCGACCCAGTGATTAGAAGATTTGCATCTGTGCTGTGGGTAATTACATAGTTTGCTACCGTGCACGATGATTTTGTTTTGTTTTAAATCCTAAGTAACTTGATTTTTCAGTCCATTATATGGAAGTGTCAAGATGTGGTCCAGTACACAAATTAACAAGCATTTACCAAACATCTGCTTTAGTCATGGTATTGTGAGATGTCAGCAGAGAAATTAAGATGACTTGTTCCTTGGCAGAATTTAATAGCAATATGGAGGAAGGGAATAAAAAAGTATAAAATAGTACCTTTCATTTATCTGGAAACAAGTTTAGTGCTGTCTTTTAGTTGCCTTAAATTATTCCTTACCATTTAAGTGAAACAAACTTGGCTTCTTTTAGAAATTCTTTTGTGCAACTCATCAAACTTGGCTTCTAGAATAATAAATATAATTGCCTTTGATAATCTTGATCTTTGTGATATGTCAGGGGAATACTTTTTGTTGTTGTTGTGGTACTGTGTATTAAACCCACAGGCCTTCACCCCGAGCTGCATCTTCAGCCTGGTTTTTTTTATTATGATTATTACTTTGAGGTGGGATCTGTCTAAGTCACTGTGTTGCCCAGACTGGGCTGGAATTTGGCTCAAGAGTGCTGGGATTACAGATGTGCCCCCCACCCCTAGGGCATGAAGCTATGCTTCAGGCTGCCTATTAAGAGCTCCAAGAAACTGAAGTTATTAGAGATCACAACTGATTAGTTGTATTTATGAATTTAATTAATTGATCCATAAGTTATTTTTTTGAGATAGTGTCTCACCGTGTTGCCCTGGCTGGCCTCAAACTAAGATCTCTGCCTCTGCCTTACTAATATCTGGGATTACATGCATGTGCCACCACTTCCAGTTTAGTTCATAGGTTTGTGTGTAGTTTAGTTTCAGAATAGTGGAACACAGTATGTGCTAGTTATTTTTAATTATCCGTAGAGGAACCAATAGTTAAAGCTGAGCATATGTGAATTATATTTATTGCATTTGTGTAAATAACAAAGTTAGTCTGACATGTGATGAGATCTTTGGGGAGATACTAGTTCAGGTGCATGGTTATTAAGCAAGCCTTTCTGGCAGCTCAGCTCTGAGTTTCATTTCAAATTATTTTGGATTATTTTCTTACAATAAAATCTGAATGTGCTATCTCTTTGTTTGGAAATAATGTGTTTCTTACACCTGGAAAAGTATTTTTAACTTTGGTCTCTTGATTTCCCTAGAATTATAAGTAAAAATGTACATATTTAACTTTTCCGTGAAGAGTAAGCACAGGCTTCGTCAGTGGTTTGAAGATTAAATGAGTAAATCATCATCTAGGGAAGTGTTTGGAATGCAGTAAACACTCAGGAGTGCTGCTATTATTGTGTGGATGGCTTTCTCCTGCACTGAATGAAAAAATCTCCCTGAGGGGAGGGCTAATGATGGAACAATGATTGATTTACATAAATTAGGCAGTCAAAAGATTTTAAAAATTAAATTGGTGTTGCTTTTGTACCGCCAGACCACTTTCTCCTTCTTTGTCTACTATTAATAATAATGCTGATGGTTTTCTTTTACATTACTTACCTTTTTTCATTCTGAACTCTTCACATTTTTTAAAAGAGAAAGGTATTGCTTGCTTTCTCTGATTCTCAACTAGATTCCATAGCGTAAGGTTGAGGGTATTTGTTTTCAAGTGTTGGTCTTTGTGCCCCCTACCAGCACTTCTTAAATTCTCTTCCCTGTGGTCTTGGATGTTGATTTCTAAAAGTTTAGTTTGACCTGCATATTATTTTTTTCACCTTAAGAAATGCTTCATTTAACCTCTCTACATTTTCAATGTCATTAATTTTCTCTGCAGCAAAATTGTGTAGAGTTCTCTGTGCTCCATGCCCCAATTTCTCTATTTTCCCTTTCTTTCCTTTTGGCGGTACTTAGGAATGAGCCCAGGGCCTTCACTCTGAGCTACATCCTTTACTCTTTTTAAGTTTTGAGACAGGGTCTCACTAAGTCACTAAGTGGCGCAGACTGGACTCAAACTTGCGATTCTCACCCTCCCTGAGTGCTTGATTACAGGTGTGCACCACCATGTCAGGCTCTGTTCTTTCTTGAGTTTACTCCCACTTGGCTATTGCTTTCATTCTGCTCTCAGTGTCACCGTTGATCTCTGGGTGCTGGATCACCAACTCTGGCCTGTTAACCACTGGGGCACAGGTGATCGATCACTCCCACCTCCACAATCCACTTTCCCCACTGGATTTCCAGAACCATACCCCTGGTTTTCCTCCTGCCTCTTTGGTTGCTCATTCCCAGTCTTCTCTGCTGGATCTGTCTATTCCTCCCAACGTTTTATTGTTGAAGTGTTCTAGCACTTGATCTTTAACCCTCTTTTTCTGTTTCTTTTGGATAACATCGTCTTCTGATGTTTAATATCTGTATAGCAAAGGCTTGCACATTCATATTCCTAGTCCCTTTTCTTTCTGAACTTTAGATCCACATATTCATTTGCTATCTCTGCGTGTCCATTTATATATTTACAAGACATCCCATACATCTCCAAATGAACTCTTTTTCTTCCCAGATTTGTTTCATTCTTTCTCATCTTGGTTAACAGAAACCCTGGACCAGTGATGGCAAACCTTTTAGAACTTTCAGTGATAATAGCCCGCTATGGCACACATGCCATAGGGTAATTCCTTAGAGCTCTCCTTTACTCCTTCCTTAATTTTTTTTTTTTTTTTTTTTTTTTTTTGGTACTGGGGATTGAACTCGGGTCCTTGCGCTTGCACAGCAGGCGACAAAACCACTGAGCTAAATCCTTGGCCCCTTCTTTAATTTTTATATTACATGAAATCCATCAGCAAATCCTGTAGGCTTTCTCTAAAATGTATCTAGAATTCAACAGTTGTCAGTAGTTTTTTTTTATTAGTGCACTGATCAGCCCTTGCTTGACTCTGTTACTAGTCACTGTCATTTCTTACTTGGATAACAGTAGTAGTTTTGTCACTGGTCTCCCTGCTTTCCTCAATCCTCCCTTCCTAAAGTTCATTCTCATATACTAGAGTGCTATTTTAAAAGTATAAGTCAAAAGTGGATTAAGATATGGGGATTCTAAGTGCAGTGTGTTGTCCTAGATTGAATCCTAGAACAGAAAAAGAACATCAATAGAAAGCCTGGCGAAATCCAAATAGAGTCAACCGTTTAGCTAATAGTATTGTATCATTGCTGGCTTCTTAATTTTAATAAATAAACCTTGGTAATATAGTAATATTAGAGGAAAGGCATATGAGGACTCTGTACTATCTTTGTAACTTTGTTGTAAATGCAGAATTAGACCAAAAGAAAAAAATTATTAAAAAGAATATAACCTCATTTCTTTGCTTGAAAATCTTTTGTGACTCCTAATTTGACTCATGGTAAAAGCTCATGTCCTTCCAGTGACCCACAGATCCTGTGTGGTCTGGTCTTCCCTTACCTCCCTTTACATTTTTCTAGCTACCATGTTTGTTAAATATTTTGGGCCCACTTCTGTATCAGTGCTTTTGCACTAGATGCTTTCTCACTTGGAAAGCTTTTTCCTAGAGCTTCATACAGGAAATTCCTTCCTATCTTTTATGTATTTGCTCAACTGTCACCTTTCAATAAAGCCTACTCCAGCCTCCCTATTTAAAATTGTAGCTTTAGATTTTTTCCACACCTTCATCCTGCCGATATACTGAGTTTGTTGTACCTTGTTTTACTATAGCAATTATCACTGTATTTCACATATTTGTTATGTGTATTTTTAATGATTTCTCTTCCCCTTAATTCCCTGAAGGCAGGAATTTTTGCTTTGTTCTCTTAGGCAGTGTACTAAGCATTTGTCAGAAGCATAGAAGTACTCAATAGATTATGGCTGGAGGAATGAACTTGATTAATCGAATTTGTGATGACTGACTTGCCATCTGAAATCATTGATCAGGGGGCTCTTGCAGTCAGCAGATTTTTAATCCTGATGACATTTGGCTGTTTTGGGGAGAACAACAATGTTGAGACTTGTAAAAAAAATTCTAAAAAAATCCGTGCTAGAATTTCAAACTGCTCATAAAACATTCA